GCCTACTTGCTCTTCACTCAACACAGAATATTACAGTTCTGTAGTTCTGTGGTTTTTTCCCCCCCTTAAACAAGGACTTGGAACTCATGAGTTCCATCTGATATACAAACAATACACTTCACAGCTTTCTTTTACAGCAGAAAGATGCTTCATGCTGCTAGAAATGGACATCATCTTAGCCCCACCTCAGCAAAAATACCTTGTCAATCAATATTTCTTCATTAGAAACTCCAGATCCCAAAACCTACCTAAAAGCAGAGGAGGAAAGCTGAAAAGAACAAGCACTTGGGAGTAGATCTGTGACAAGGGATGTCAAAAATGTTAAGCAGGTGCTAAGGAGTACACGGGGGAGGCAGGGGGGAAGCAGAAAATTACTGAGGCTCGTCATAATCTCCATCCATTATTTCTGAAATCGCAGTTGAAACCAAAGCTCGCTAGTAGACCCTGCCTGAATTAACATCGTCCAATTTTAATTTCTCTACCTCCACCAAATGAAGTTTTCACATAGAAAGAACAAAGCACCTATGAAGATAAAAATGAAAAGAGCCAATCTGACAGCATGCAAGCAGCTGTCATTTGGATACAAGTTTGTCCATCATCAAACATATAGCAAACTTCCACGTGGCAGCACAATTCAGAGCAGGAGTGACGTGGGAACAGTGCAACTGATATCATCTTTCTAAACTTCCTCCAGCTCTTCTTCCTCCCTTTCTCTCACAGGTCTGAAGCAGAAAAACATTCAACCTATCACACTTCAGGATTATTATTACACCTTGGATTACAATACTTACACAAAATGACCACTGTAGTTCAGATCCAATGACTAGTTTGACGTCTGAAGCAAAAGCAACCTTACTGAAGACCATAGAAAGGGGAGAAAAACAGAGCATTGCTACCTGAAAATTACTTACTGCTGTTCAGACTTGTTCATTACTTCATTTTTGTAGTCCCTTCACCCCATATCTGAATTCAGGACTGCACCTACCCTAAAAACAGCATTAACTGAAATACCATACACAATCCTGATTTCTTTCAGACCTAGTTACACAACTCAGCAAGGGTGACAAGTTTTGTTATTCTTTATTTACTCTGTCACTTCCCAGAAACCAGATCAATCTATCTTCAGCTCTTACAGAGCATGATTCAATCAGTAATTTTAAGAGTGATTCACAGCTGATTTTAAACATACACTCCAAAGCACTTCACAATGGTCAACACTTCAACTGTACAACTCCAATCTACAAGCAACAGTTCCTCAGATCTTTTGAAATGCATCAATTCACTGACAAATTAAAGGCCCACTGGGAACACAGCATTCTGAACTCCAGCTACTGAGACTGCAACACCTGACATCTCTTCCTCCACTTGACTTCTTGCCCTCAGCTGCCTGAGGTACACAGTTCCATGGATGCCCATTTTTACTGCATCACTCTTTCCAAGCCATGGCCAGACAACTGTGACTTTTCTCTGCATCTATTCATTACCCAAATACTCATTCATTGGTCCTGCTACCTTTGTCATCTAACATGCTTCTCACACCTTGTTAGTTTTACTCTCTATTTCACTGCAAAGCCACCATTCCACAACCCTTTGTGTTTCTTACATATTTTATTCATCCCCTTGTGTGGGCTCCAAAGCCCACAGTGAATAAGGAACTACAGAAGCTGTCACTGAGGCCAGGCAGAGATGAAGCATTTTCAAACACAGTCCTCAACTTATAAAACCTTGCTCTAGGAATGTGCCAGCAGCAGCGTGATGCTACTCTTTTGGAACCATATTCCAGGATGATCTTTAAATTAAAATCTTTTCTCTTGAGTTACAGCTCTCTGAATTACTAAGCACAGAAAAAGACATCTAAGCAATACAGTGTAAAGCTTTGTGTTTAACAGATGCACGGCCTGTAATAAAGAAATCTTCACCTGCTAGTATTTCAAATCAATCACATAACATCAGCCTCCTGACACAGGATTGCTACCTCGGTATCTTACTGCCAAGCAAAGGCATTACCAGAACAGGTAAGAAACAGTAATTTAGTGTATGGATGGAGATTAAGCAAAGTAATACCATAACATCTGCACTGATTTTATTACAGACTAGACAAACTCACATACAAAACATCAATTGTAACAAGAATATTCCATGTGAGTGGAAAGCCAGCTATACCATCTGAAGTTGGAAGAGACTCTTTGAATTCTAACATTTAAGCATTTCCAGCCATAAGCAACTTACCAGTGTTATACAGTCCCAAAACCCAAAGCTCACAATTATGGCTTGTAGTTAAGTAATGTCACCAGCATATTTTCCATACTTAAACTTTAATACTTCTCTATCAGGGCTGTGAATATCCATGTTTGGAATGAAACCAGAATTTCACATTGGAATTTGTCTTCGTTGGTGTGAAATGAATGAAAATCTGTTCTAATTTGAGTCAGATTATCAAAAGAAATTTTACACCCCCCCCCCCAAAAAAAAGGGGGGGTCTTAAGTGGACCAATATCAAGTTGCTAAACCAACTGCATTTCAGCATCTCTAAAGAGTTGCTGCAGAACTTTACTTCTGGGGGTACAAAATCAAAAGAGTTTTCAAGATATGGTACTGTTTTGTGCAGACTTTATTCTTACTGAGCATTAAAATGACAACTACTTACCCTTCTCAATACCTACAGTAAGGACAGCTAACACTGACAATACAGCTTATCTGGCCAGATCCTCACATGGCAGTAACATAAGATGTTCCACTCAATTCTTTTCCTATTAAAGGGCACAAAAGTTTAAGAAGTTACTAACCATTCTGCTTCTCTGATTTCCTGCTTCAGGCATTACACTCAATATATATTCCACAGAACATTTTGGTGATGTATATCAATGCAAATCACATCAGCTGTTTTTCTTTGGAATCTGAGCTAAGGGAGTGCCAACTGTTTTTAATTAAGCTCTTGAGAAGGCCTAGCAATAAGACCATCCTAAATAATTAAGAATGGAGGAAGAAAAATGCCTGTAGCCACTGAACTCCACACACACACTGTATCAGTAAATTCTGCATTGCCATGTATCACGTTCACATATATATTTTCAAATATTGCTGGCAACTTTTAGATACCATCTGTTAACAAAAAACACGGAGGTTTTAGTTCAACTTGCAACTGTTTTTAGCACTAAAAACACCAAAAACACCGAGTCCTGCATCTTTTCACATGTACACAATTTAGACCTTTCAAACACAGTACATACATTACCTAATTAAAATACCGAGCAATTAAAGACATGTTTTGAGCTCTCAGATTATATTCCATAACTCAAGTTCTTCTGCCAGAAGCAGTTTGGTACGTAGAACAATAAGCTGCAAAACAGATCAGTCAAAACTCATGTCAAACTGCTTTATTACATCTTAAATAACATTACATTTTAATATAGTATCTATCTTGCATCCAGCTTTCTTGAAGTACACTGACTTTAAAATTAAATACAAAAGGTGAAGAGGGATACAGGGTGTGGAAAAAGCTCTACAGAGTAGTTTCATGAAAGAGAGAAAGAAGGAATTCATCTTTTATGCCAAATCCAGGCCTAACGCACAATTACAGCACATTTTTGTACAGAATGTTGCAGAAAAAACAAAATGGAGAAAAGCTACTACTGCTGCTAGGAAGGAGCATTTCTGGATACAGTGAGAAGATAGGAAAGTTTAACAGAACAATCCGCTGTCCAAACACTGCTGCTTTTAACATTTTATTTGAAAAGAAAGCCAGGAAAACCTGCTTGTTACAAAAATGATTCTAATCAGATGCAAAGGACTCATCCTACAAGAGGAACTGGCTGTGAGGAACTGATTTTATAAAGAAGATGGTTTAGGTTCCCTCCTCCCACACCCCAAAATCTTTGACAGCGATTGTTTGAACAGGCTGTTTCTCTTTTCTTTTTGTTTTTTTAAAAAAAAAGTGACTTACCACGCTACTCCAAAACGTGCATAGCTTTTTACTTGAGTTCTTCATAGATTTATGCACAGAGTAGCAACAATAAATGAATACAGCAACAATGGTTACAGTTTTTAAACAGGTTATTTTTTCAAAGAAAAAAACATCTAAGGACTTAGTCCAATATGCACTTTTTAGCATTTCTACAGCATGCGATTCTAAGAGTAAACCCACCCAATATGGCAAACAATCAAAAAAGGTTTTTTTCTCGTTTAACTTAGAAAGTTCAAGATCATTATTTTCAAAACATTGATTTGTACATCATTTCATACACAAAGAATTGACTCAATACCCAAGTGTAGGATAGGTCTCTTTTGAAAACAGAGATTCCTGGTTGTTGAGACTACAGGATAGTGTTAGGATATATAAACTGCCCTTTCAAGTGGACAAAACCAAAACAGATTAAAAAAAAAATCAGTGTGGTGAAAAGAGGGGGTAGGAGGGACCAAGGATTGCATTTGTTATCCATAAAACGTGAAAGGATTCTTTAAACAAGCATTCATTACCTTGAACAGCATGTGCTTGGTTACCTTACTGCTTAACGTTATCCTATATATGCCAAGGTTTGTGCAACAATTATCTGTGATACTAGAAAATAAAATAAAAAAAGTAGGGACTAAATTTACATCGTTAACAACCCCCAGATGCTCTGGGCTAGGACTCCCTTGTTTTGCTCAATTAAATACATAAACAAATGTATTTAAAAAGGAAACTTGAAAAAAATCCCGCTACAAACATGACTTTAAAATTTGCAAGTGTGTGAGATAAAGTCCTTAACTTCAACTTGGAAACTACAGTGAAAGCTAACTGTTTCACAATTATGCTCAAGTTTATTTTCTGGTCATGCTTTTATGATAGTGTTTGATTTTTAAATTCTCAAGACAAAAAAAAAAAAGAAATGGTCCCAAAAGGAATGCACTATTTCATTTTGCTTACAACACAGAAATTCTTCTTGGAAAGGTAATTGTGCTCTTCAATTTCAGCAACAGGAGACGGAAAAGATCTTGCCCTTTGAAGTTGGGGAGGATGGGGGTCCAAGTTAGTATAGTTGGATTGAATATGCTATCATTTTTAATTTTCAATCGTTGGAAACTTCTTCCAGTCACGGAGTCCGCCACTCTTCTAACACACAGAAAGATGGATTAAGAGCTGCACTTAGATTAATTGTAGTCAAGTTTCAAGTCTCGTTCTCACTACCCACTGATGCATTCAGCCATTATCTCACTGGTTTTAAGACTGCCATTTATTTGCCAACCCCGACTCTAAAGACCAGTCATCCCTCCCAGAAAAGTAAGAGTAGTTTACCACAGAAACATTACTGCATACATTGAAGAAGCAGCCTTCTAAAAACACACAAACAACAAGAAAACCCACAAGAAACTGTTTTTCCCCCCAGTGACTTTCCTAACTTGAATTATATGCTTGCAGCATCAGTAGAAGAGTACTGTTTGGACCCATGAAAAAGCACTGAGCACCATATAAGGACAGAGTTAATTAGTTTGATGCCTACTTACTTCAGTTCCAGATCTTGAGGAAGCTGTCCCATGATCCTGTTGCCACTGCCATACCATCATCAGTCACACCTAAGCAACTGACACGGTTATCATGACCAGCAAGGACACCTGGAAATAAGAATACACAACAAACCTGTCACACTGCTCTGATGCTTCCTTATTTCTGCTCAATAACAGTGAGGCTGCCACACCACAATTACTCAGTCTCTTCCTTCAAGAATTCTGAACAAGCATGGTTTCGATTTTTGAATGCTTTTGCTTTCTGAAGCACAAACTTGTGTGGGTTCACAAGGAAGTAATGCAGAAAATGCTTGGCTCCAAAATTCTACTTGTATATTCCTCAAGTCATGACCTTACTGATTCAAGTTGTGAAATCACTGCTTTGAAAATCCTGTCAGCAGTGTCATAGCAATAAGTGCAACCATCGCTGCTAGCATTTCCTCTCCATAGTGACAAACATCCATTTGATTTTACAGAATTTTAACCCACAAAAAAGAAGCTGAAATACGTTCTGAAAACTGAAATGTTTTCCATCTATCTTTAACTGGTGATGTTTACAAGCACTTACAAGACTTCAACACCTACATAGCTTTTGCCAATATGGAGATCTGAATATCAATTATAGTACTATTAAAAAAATAACTGGGACACTAAATAGCAAAGATACAGAAGCCAACATTCTCCTCTGTTACATTTAACTTAATGGAACAACTATTTATGCTCAATCTCTACTCAGCCCACTGCACTGAGCTAAGATATTCCTGACAATATCAGGCAGTACAGAAGTTTAAGTTCTGCTCAGATCACTTCAATAAGCAGAAAACTTAAAGCAGTTTAAGTTCAGCAAACGTGCCATGAGCACATGCACTGTATTTTCTATTTAATAAAAAACTACCATGAATTCTAGAAGAAAAAACTGTGATCTGTGTGATAAAACAAAGCTGACAGAGAGAAATCAAGAAATCCAACAAGAACTACATGGGCACAGTCCAGAATCATGTATTTGTTTAGATCTTTGCCATCTTTAGTACATCCTCCTCTCAAAGCAACAATTCGCACCAAGTACCTGCAGCTAATCCTTACAGCTCCACGTGAAGAGGAATTCTGCTTGGCTGGTGTTTCCTGTTTGCTTTTAAAGCAGACCTAGACACTCTTAGGAACACCATACTCAATAACAGAGTAGGTCATTGCAGAACTGGGGATGAGGACAAAGCATCAAATATTTGTGGCATAACTCACACTTTTTCTCCTTTTTTTCCCCCCCTAAGAGAAGTCTTGTTTTTAAAGAACCCCAGTTAAATTGACTTAACTTTTGTATAGAAACAAATCATATTTACTTTCCCAAAAGGTAATCTGCAAAATCTTTTTGTTTCCTGTTTGCTTCTGAAGTCTCTGCTTCAAATAAATTTCATGCAAGATCATTCTTTCACCTTAACAGCCACACTAATGAGCAGCAAAACCTCTAACAAAGCAGTTAGAGTGACTGATGTGGGAACATCTTTCATGATCCTTTTATCAGCACGTGCTAAGGGCTATTTTCCATTAATAGTTTAACAACAACTTTAAAAGTTTACACAAAATAACTAAGCAGTGGATTTTTAAAGAAAAACTTTCTAGAAGTGATTCCTTTACAGATCAGTGACCAGAAATTGCTGCTGAACAGTTACAATATCATAAAAATCAATGCCACTGTTCAGTGAAATAAGAAACATCAAGCGCTGTCAACTTCCAGCCTGCAGTATTTCTGTAAGCTACTGTGCCAATACTGATGTCAGGCAACTGTAAGCCCTCCACAGAGGAGGTGGACAGTATGTTGCATTGCTTTCAACAGATCACAAGCAAAACAATTTCTAAGTCTAAAAAGACAGCCCCAATCCCCAAAACTCTGCTTTTCATATTTCAAAATAAATATGCTTACCTGCTCTATCAGCTTTCAGCGTATCCCAAACATTGCAGTTGAAGTCATCATAACCAGCTAGGAGGAGACGACCGCTCTTGGAAAATGCTACAGAGGTGATGCCACAGATGATGTTATCATGTGAATAAACCATAAGTTCCTGATCAGCCCGAAGATCAAAAAGCCTGCATGTAGCATCATCCGAGCCTGTGGCAAATGCATTGCCATTGGGGAAGAACTTCAGCAGAGGGCAGAAAAGAATGGGGAAAAAAGAAAAAAGACAACAAATTAATTTAAAGAGTGGCTGATAAAATGGGCAAGTTACTCAAAGGCTGCAAAATACGTTATGCTGTGAAGTCAGAAAAGTTCCAAACATACAAAATGCTTTTCATCTGGCATTCCAGGCATAAAGCCCATTGTCTCAGGAGTATCCAAAAACTGTACATCTGGAATAGAACTTCACCCTTGCTCCCAAGCAGAACTTGATGCAGAAAACATTAAGAGAAAACACTCCATAATATTACAGCATACAGTGCACGCTTAAAAGCTGAGAACAATATAACCAAACAAACTGAAATCCTCTGTCCTTGCTCGAGCTGACACTCACACAGATGGCGTTGATGTCCGACTCATGGCCAGTGAAGGTTTGCCGACACATTCCTTCTCTAACATCCCACAGTTTGGCAGAGGCATCGCAGGCACCGGAAACAAAACACCGAGCATCAGGAGCCAGAGACAAACTCATGACATCTCCAGTGTGCCCAGTAAATGTAGTTGTCTGCTGACCAGTTTCTATGTCCCAGAGAGCGCTTGAAAGAATAATCAAAAGGTACAATTAAAAACCTATTTACAGTCCTGTCTTTTGTGCCCTTCTTATTGTCCAAAGCACAAAGCAGCAGTGGTAAATAACAGCAAAATTCAAGTCAGCTTTTCCCACTCTTAAAAACTCACTGAGGATGTGTGACTTTGTAAATTATGTCTAACATTTTAAAACCGCATTGCTTTCCCAACACAGCAAAATCACTGCTACTCTGACAATCAAAGAGTATAAAATGATGAAATAGCACTATCATCCCTTCACTTTTAACTTCCCAATAAAGCAGATCCCTCAGCAGCAGATCTGTACTAGGCAAACAGAAGGTCACTGCACTTTGTCATTCTTCTCATAGCTTGGCTGATCCCAGGTGGACAAAGCATTATCCAAACAACTGTCAAGGAATTATGATAACTCCTGAGAACAGCTACATTGTCTCGTATGAGCCTTGTTTTAAGAGATTCTTTTTTTCTTATAAAGTATGTTTAGGAACACTTTGATATAAAAACAAAATGTCTACATTCGTTAGTTACTCAGAATCAGTGGACAAACAAATGGGCCTTCAAAGAGACTGACACTGTGTAGGAGAACTATTTACTAGACAACCTTTGCTGTAAGAACTGCTGCCTGGGAGATCTGTATTGATTTTAAGCAGCAGATATAATACAAAAACTAATGAAAAGAAGATTGAGGCCTTCTCTCATTCTGAAGCCAGTTTTTATTAAGACATACACCCACATCCACCTCAAGGAAAAAAGCTGTGTCTGCTGTCAGTGTAGAATATTTTCTAGGAGCTTTTCGTATTAAACATCTAAATACGACTTTGTATAGAAAACTGTAATTAATACTGAATACTAAAGTGTTTTGAGAAAGGTCACTTATTTCTGAAAGGCAAATTATACAAAAAAAAAAAAGTCTACATATCATTGTATCACAAAAAATTAGGTCAATTGAGAACACAGGCTTAACTGAACAGCCAAAGGTTAAAGCCTTGAAAGCTCAAGTTTTCCATTACTAGCAAAAATGTGACTTACAAGCAATTATCAACCTTGCTTAAAATTCTGGATGACTACCACCTTTATGAAGAAGTTTATTTCAACAGACTTGAAGCGTGAGAAGTCATTACTAACAACCATGTCAGAGTTTTACTGCTTACCAAGTGGTGTCGCCAGAGCTGGTAACAATTTGATTATCATCCAAGAAACGACAGCATGACAAGTATCCTGAAAGCAACACACACAGCCAAAGAATAAAATCAGAGATCACTCTCCACGCTGCATACTGACTTATATACTTCTCCCTCCTCTTGGAAGATGCAGGAAGAACTACTACAGAAGTCTAAAGTACAACAGAATTTTTATAGAGAAACCTCTGAAATTTTAGACAAAAATATTCTGGCTCTTTACTGACCATGTCTAATTAAACCATTACAATAGCATAAGGTTACATCAGTATCACAGCAAATTGATCTAAACACAGAAGAAATTTAGCGAAGTGTCTTAACCAAAGCAGGATAGATTCTGCTCTGGGACTACCTTACTGAAACTAGGGGAAGTTAGAAGCAAGAGGGAAAATTATTGAGCAGCTTTATTTACCATTATTTAGCTCCTAAATTACAAAAAAACAAACAGAACAAAACACAGTAGAGGGATTAATGCAGAAAAGAGTTGAAACAATTAATTGTCACCCTCCAGCAGGCAGTTAAGATAACCTTCCAACAAAACTAAATGCCATATGTTAAAAAAAAGGAAAAGATTTCACTGTGTGCCTCCATAACTCAGGCCATCTGGGTACGTACTCACCTGTATGCCCAGCTAGCTCACGGCTGACACGTACATTCCCTTCACGAGTTTTCAAGTTATAAATGGAACAGATGTTATCGAGACCACCACAAGCCACGTAGTTTCCAGAAGGCGCATATGCACAAGTCATGACCCAAGACGAACGCAGGGGAATAGCATGCACCTGAAACAAATGCATTCAGCACTTCATCTGCAGAACAACTCACTCAATAATTCAGCATCAGCAGGTTTTCATCTCTCCCCCTCTCTAGCAGCACATCTTTTCATCAAAAGGACAAGAAAATACATAGCTTGCCAGGTCAAGTAAACATGGAATTAAAACCTCAGGTTTGCCTTTCCCGAATTCAGCTTAATCAGCAATTTTGAGAAAAAAAATCAAATTATTTCAGTGCTCTGATTGCTAATAGTTTGCAGTAGGTTCAGGAAAACATTGACTTCCACATACAGTCAGCAGAACTGCCAATTCCAGGCTTAGATGCTATGTTATGAATGAACTAGCGAGGAAATTGTTACTCTCAGAGCCACTTAAATCCTACTTTGAAGCCCACAGCACACAAAGACTTAATATTTAACTAACCTCCTCTTTGTCTTCTTCTGTTTGCAGTGCACGTTTTCACACACAAAACACTTAAGACACTGCTACATTTCTTACTGGAGAAATCAAGATTTAGGCTCATGTCCACATTGCTTTGGTTGACAGAGAGTACTTCTCTCCTTTGCATTAATTATCAACTTAACAGTTAATCTTACCTTGTTTGTAGTATAGCTGTCCCAAATTATAAGTTTGCCATCCTGGGAGGCACTAACTAGAAGCCTGAAAAGGAAACAGGTGGTAAATTCAGCCATTGAAGGAAGACAAGAAGGAATGTATTCTGATAGAACAGCCTATACTGTCAAAACTAAGGTACCATTTAAGTACAGCATGTCATTACTCAATTCAAGATACCAGCACTGAAGAAATTATTTTGGAATCATCCATTTTGAATGTGAAATATTGTGGAAATATGTAGTAGATGATCAACATGTCCACACATTCATATTTCAGAAAATCTCTAGATAGGTAACAAGCTTGAAAACGGAGGCAGAAAACTTGTGTGGAATCAGTGACTTTGTGTTCTGTACATAGGCTTCAGATTCAATGAGTCTGACAATCTGTACTGTCTACTTGTTTTCTGTTTTCTGTTCTTAGAACAGAAATTACAGTTCTAAGTCCCAAAAAACTGAATGGATATCAGCACTGAAATACAATGGGGAAAAAAACAGAGCAAAGATGTCGCTCATGGAAAGGAGAACTTTAGGAAGGTTTTTTTTTTTTTAAAGCTTAAATCCACACTCTCCATTCAGAAATTGTTGGACACATAAGGCATTAGTTAACTGCTCAGAGCTCTTTTACATACTTTTAGTATGCTCAAAGGTATATTGGAACACTGCCATAAAGCACCTCTCTTCAGTCTTTTCCTTTTACAAATAATTTCAGAGAAAATAGTTCAATAAGGTACTCAGATTTGTTCCATGACTCTTCCTCTGGCCAAACACAATGCACTCATTAGTGCTTTGTTGTCTTGGTGGTGTTTTATTGTTTTTTTTGCTTTTTTTGTTTTGTTTTTTAAACCCAGCTTCTATCTTACAGCTGTCACAATGCACTTTTGCCAAACAGACCAAACCCCATTTTAAAAATAAATTTAGATTCTGATGACAAAACCACACATACCAGGAAGAAAAGAAGTTACATTGAGTGGTTCCAAGTTCTCTCGGCTGCCTACATTCTTTTGAACGAGTGGATCCTTGTGGCAGAACAGGTAAATAACAGCTGGATGCACCCAACTTCCCACAGCACAGTGAACCCACCTGGAATCAGTCCCCCAGTGCATTGCATAAATTTTGGCCAGGTGTCCCCGGAGCGTTCTCCTGGTGCGCATCTGAATTCTCCCCACCGGGTCAATATTGGCTGTGATCTGAAACAGGAATTGTACCATCCATTGAATCTTTCACTGCACAGCTCCACAGAACAAAACAAACCATCATACACAGACATTTCAATAAGCACCGCAATGCAAACCAAGTAGTCCTACTTCTTTTTTTCTTTTTAATATTGACCATTTTCTTTTTTAAATGCCTAAGAATAACTTCATTTGAAGCAGTACTTGCTTTCAAGAAACCATCATTTTGCTAGCTGTTTTTTTTTCCCTCATAGACAGGAAATGGGGTGCACTATTTCAGCCTTTAGACAATGCCTCCGCTTTTGAAAGATGGATGAATAACTCAGTTTCAGATCCAGATGACCTTCCCTTCCAAATACTGGAAAACTAGAATCATATTATTCCTGTTTTATTTAACTTTTGGAAGATAAAAGCAGTCTCTGGAGTGAGTAAATAGCAACATAAGGAAGTAATTAGTTTAGCTGTCCTTATGCAGCTAAGTTTAATATCAATAATTTCTCCAGTCTAAAGAAAAGTACTCGTTGAAAATAAAAACAATAAAAAACCCAGCTCAGCACACATTTCCAGTAATATAAGAACACATCTCAACAAATCCAAAAGTATGCAAGTTTGTTTTATGGATATTGTCTGCATATTTCTCATGTCTCCTTGTTACAGAATTATTTTGCAAGAACATTTGAGCAAGTGTCTCTGCTTCTTTTCAAAGACCATCAGCGCTGTGAAAAGAGCACTTCCATGACACAAAAATCCTCATCATGGACACATTCCTTGCTAGTAATACAAAAGTTTTTTGCTTTTGCTCCCTCCACATTTATTTATTTATTTATTTGCACGCTTTCATCCTGGAAAATATGCAGCACTGTGCCTAAAAATAAGATCACGAGATCAGTACATTCATATGTACCTACCACACCATCCCCAAGAGGTGACAGAATACAAGTTTCCCTCTCCCAAGTTAACAAAATAAAAACAGGACAGCACAGCAGAGGTATCAACTCAGGTTCTAAAGTATGGGCATTGATGCATAAGTAGGTAAACCTCAGAGGTGTCATGGTTCTGAGAGTCCCAGTAACACAACTGTGCTGCTACCACATCTGCAGCAAAACATCAACAGCTCCCTTCAGCAGGGATCAGCCCTGAGTGATTTCTTCAAGAAAGTACTGCTCCAGGTTACTGCTCTCAGAAACTCAACATCAGTACCACATACATTTCTTGAAAAAAACACCTGAAGGCAAAATTAAAAAAATAAATACAAAAAAATCCACTCAGATGTACCTTTTTACAGCACATTTTCTTTCTGTAAAGGGAACATGCTTTTGTAGTTCATGTTAAACTCTTGACTGCTTACCTGAGCCAAGGTGGCATCTGCACACGCTTTCCTAGCATCCTGCAATAGAACAGTTAGAGAACTCAGAAGAAGTTCTGTTCAATCTTGGCATTGTCAAGTTAATCAAGTTGTCACAAAATAATGTTTAGAAAGCATTTTGGTTTGTTATTCAGAAGGGACCCATCGTAACTGCAGCACGAACATAACATGACAGACTGCTGTCAAAACATGCTGAGCACTTGAAATTTCCTTGTCATGAAACCTCACATCCGGCAAAAGATTCCAGCCGTAATGACAGACAACTTCCACCACGTTCAGGAAAAAGTAAGGCATGAGATGTGTTTATTAATCAAGCTAGTTACATACAAACTATACTTCAGTTAACAAATTGTCCTACGCCAATACATTGTTTAGACAAAATCACTCAAAGGGACTCAGCTACTTTAGTTACATGACGATTTTCATTGCAGAGGTAAGAGAAGTACATGCAACTTCTAGGAGAAAACAAAACTAAACCTAGTAGCTGAAAAATATGAAGATATGAAAAAAATTTCTGACCATAGAATTAAGTAGAAAGAACACAGCTTGGAAAACGAAAACATAAGCTAGAGAACTTAACTTTAGCTGCAAGAAATACTGGGTAATAGAACTATCTGACAAAGGAAATATTTTAAGGCTTATCGTTGAGACTCAGTGGATTTTTTCCACCTTGGAAAACCAAATTTGGAGAATTATCCTGAGCTAGCAAGTAGGGAAAATAACTGGCCAAACCTTTTCAATTCACTCCTGTGAAGCACACACAGTTTACCCATTATCAGTTAGTAGTACCTGACTGAACTTTGCTTAAAAAGCACAGGTAACCACGCAGCCTGTGTGGATGTGTGCTCCCACACGAGAGTGTAGGAGTTCTGGTAACAGAATTTAGTTTAAGATGTAACCAGTGTTCTGCTTAGTCCCTTGGAAAAAAAAAAATTAAACAAGCATTAAATGAAGACTAAAAGCACCAAAAGCCAACTGTCATACTAATAGATCTGTTTATGCTCATTCCAGCACAAACACTACTCTGTAACAGCCGCATTTCACATGCTTTCATGCAGTAGTACACTTTACTTTCTTTTTCTAGGCAGCTTTTATGTCTGAAGGGGCTGGAACAATATATCCAGACTAGCAAGTATCATAACAGAGCGCACAGAGATTCCTTCTGTGGAGTTAGAGACTGGCAGTGTGCAGTACTAGCGAGAAATCTGAGCTTTACAGTCAGTTTAGATATTTCCTGTGTGCTGGCTGGTCAGAAAGCTGTGAAAAAAACACAACTTCCTATACATTAAAAATAATAAATGATGCTTCAAACAGAGATGGAACAATGAAGACAAGTACTGTTAACTTAATCTGAGGCAGGCAAACCTTTACTTAGTTTCAACTCCCAGATTAAAAGACCACCTCTTCAGAATGAGGACAGAAGTAGAAAAACTTCACAGTGCCTCTTCTCAGGTCTGTGCAAAATTCAATCATTACCAGGTATGGCTGAATATTTAGAGAACAGGTGATGGAGACTAATGGAAGGAATACACAAGAAGGGATGGTAAAGCAAACAAAATGTAACTTTAGACAGAGTCTACTAAATAAAATCCCTGTCACAGCCTGCATTTCAAAGAGTTTATCTTGAACATCTTAACTTATCGTGCACAAAAACAACCAATAGGTTTTTGTTTCACTTTCTAGAGGAGGTTTGTTGGTTGTTTTTTTTTTTTAAGCTTTCAAGATATGTGTTTTTTGTCTTTAAAAAAAAATACATACAGGGAGACCAAATTGAATAAGACAGGGGAGTTTCAGCTGTTCTGTTCTGTCTTTGATGTTCTTCCTACTAAAGCATAAGACCTCTGCAAAGTCCTTGTGAATCTCAGCATCAATGAACATTTAGAATAGGCCTGTATTAAAGTCATTTATAGTCACTGAATTCATTCTGAAAGAACAGATCAAACTGTGTTCTGCATATGTTACGTTTCCCTCCACAAGGAATTACAATACTGACTACACTCCAGTTCACGTTGGGCTTCATAATACATTTTTCAAATTAAATCTAAAACAAATGTCATTTGGACTACATTCTATCCTTAAATAAACAGACTGCTCTCCTCCTTTTACTCAGTAACAGAAGAACAGACACGCCATTTATTCAGAACAACATGCTGACTCCTATAGCCTTCACCTGAATACTGCCAATTCACAAAACAGTTCACAGATGCAGTTTATGTAAACCTTAAACCACACTCAGGAAGTTTTAATCATCTTCATTCCTCAGCCTGTTCTCTCAGAGTTACTGGAAACTAAACACATGTTTCTGAATTACCCCTTGACTATTTATTCAGTACAAGGTCATTATCTGGAACCAACTTACTGCCCCAAATATGTTCTCAGGCTCCTCAAAACTACACTTGAAAAGAGCAAGTGAAACACACACTGAAAGATAAATGGAAACACTGGCTCAGAAAAACTTCAGTAACCATTCATCTTGATCGAATCCAATCTTATCCATGTTGTGGATTTACTTGTGTAAAGGTGCATATACGTGAACTTCATTACGTTAACTCTGACACTGTGGAAAAAAGCATAATGCATCACACTGCTGTCCATCTTTGCCACCTTCAAGACACACACATCTTTTCTGTAAACTTCAAGACCCACTGGTGAAATACATACTCTGATTTGGTTTTTCAGTTGCTCAGCCTCCTGGCGTAACTGGTCGAGCTCACTCATTTTCCTGTGCTAAAGGTGTCCTCTGCTGCCACCTCTCAAACAACCAGAAATCTGAAAGACAAGCAGTAACAGAAGAATTAGCAGAAGTCATAGATTAAAATTAACTGAGCAGACAATCTGAGTTACCTCAAACAGGACTTACAAACCAATCACTGATAGTTTTTTTAATCTTCAAAATACAGGTGACTTTCTCTGAAATGCCTTCAGAATACACTGTTAGCATACGTGTTCACTATTTTTTTTTTCCTCCTACAGAAAACAGATTATTATTTGGACTTATTCCTTCTCCTCCAGGTCTCTTTCTTTGTATCTTTTCTTTCATTAGTGTTTTTTGGATTTAGTTTTTTTTTTTTTTTTTTTTATAAACTCCAATTTCCCAAGAATGACTCTTCCAGCAATTCATATTAAGGTTAGACAGGAAAGCCAGAACACCTCCACAGGACACAAAATTAGAACTTAAAATATTTAGATACTGACAGGCAAATGCAAAATGCTGTCAAAAGGCCCTTATGAACTCTGTCTGAAACACAGCAGTTATGAAAAGTGTGTTCTATTATCTGGATAGAACATTCACAAGTGTTGTTGAGTTTTTTCTGGACAATTGTTAACATGTCCTCTGAGATTTCCCAGAAAGGATTCCAGCATTGATATATGTCAGAATAAAATTAACATTTTTTCAACATTAGGTTAAGAAAAGGAGTTCAAACAAGTGCTGCTAAAGCCACGTCTCCACTACAACACCTGGATTTCCAGCCATTAACACATCAATATGGTCACTGCCCTCTGTGGCCAAAAATGAAGCCTCAGTGAAACAATTATCACCGAATGCCCTCCACCATTCTGCATACAGCTCCTCAACAAATGGGCTGTTCTCTATTATAATGACATATAGGTATTTTCCATCAAGCATATTGCTCATGATTAGAAGTCTGTTCTAGAAATATGCCAGCATTTCCACGCTGGCATTTTCACTAGCATTCTATACTTGAAGAAGTCGAGGTACAGCTGAATTTAACCAAAGAACTTCTGCATACAATGTAAATGTAAGATGCTAAAGAAACTCACTAACGAAGTTCGCCCTTTGCTGGAGAACAACATATTAGACTCATTTCCATATACTACGTAAAGCACCTGCAGGTCATTAAAAAACACACAGAACACACTACTGGTGGTTGAGAACACTTTATTTGCCAGAACTGACCCTTTATTATTAAATAATGCAAATGCTTTGCTACCAGCTTTACATATTATTTCATTGAGATTTAATCAGCTTATTTATCTTGGCAAGCATGAGGGGTTTGGCTTTTTTTTCCCCAGAGCTCTGAGGCAGCCCTTCCCAGGGGGAAAGACGAGGATAATTTCTGATGGTCTATAGAGCTTTGACACTCTAAAGAGAACAATTCCACATAACCAGACCCAACTCTATGCTCTCTCTTATTGTAATAGCTAGTATTCTAAACTGATGACCTCAAGGAACTTAAGTGTCTCATCTTGTCATGTCATAGCTTACAAGTTTATACCAGGTGTATTTTAAAGAAGGAATTTCACTTAGTTTCTGACTCAAAATCTCCACTCATAACTTTAAAGCCCTTTTCTTCAGTGTGAAACCCGGTCTCTTTCTCTCTTCTGGCTCCAGGGTCATCTTTAAGCCCTTTAAGATTGCTTGTTCAGCTTAGCCCAAAATCCAGTTAAGAAAAGACCTGCCCAGACTTTTATTATCCTCTAACCACCTTTCTTTCCTTTCAGTGCTCTTCTCTTTCTCAAGATCTACTGTTCATTCTACACGTAAGACAAACCACTCCACAGTTGGGTCTCCCTGCAATTTTTAAGCACAGTCAGCAGTTTCTCCAGCTGCAGTCCGGTCACACTGTGCAGCAGCATGCACTACTCCCCAAGGAATTAAGAAACTCTCAAAAATGTTCTTAAAAATAAACTTCATTAAATTTTCTGATCTTTTAGCTTCTTAATATCTGATTCTATTTCCGCTCTTCTCTAAGTTAATATATAGCCCAATTCCCACTAAGCAAATACCAACCTCTCCAGGCAGAGTACAAGGAACTTCAGATGGTATCACTTTATTTCAGAGAAAGAAATTACAATCCAAACCTTAAATGTTCTGCTCAAGGACACAGCAACTCAACGATAGGATTAAGATAAAGATTTAGGACACCGAATTCCAGCTGCAGAGCTACAGGTAATTACACTGAAGATTTACATACAGCTTTATTTAAAAATATAATAGGGTGAATAATCTAATGTCAGTCAACGCAGGTATGTCATTGTGCAGCATACAGCTTAAAATAGTGCCCATTTATTCTTACCAGAACTTGTGTGACACAACTGAATTCTCTTGCATTTAAACGAAGCAGAACTTCTATGTATGGAATAAGAAGAGGCTGAAGGAGTGTGTTCAGAGAAGGGCAATGCAGTCAGTAAGGGGCCTGGAGCACAAGTCTTACAAGGAACACCTGAGGGAAGGGGGATTATTTAGCGTGGAGAAGAGGAGGCTGCAGGGAGATCCTATTGCTTGCTATAACTCTCTGAAGGGATACTGTGGTGATTTGGGGGTCGGCCTCTTCAATGTAACTAGTGATAGGACTGAAGGGAATGGCTTCAAGTTGCAGCAGGGGAGATTCAGCTTGGATGTTAGGAGAAATTTCTTCTCCAAAGGAGTGGTCACACACTGGAACAGGCTGCCCAGGGAGGCAGTGGATTCACCGTCCCTGGAGGAGTTCAAGAAACATTTAGATGTTGTATTGAGGGACATGCTTTGGTGGGAAATAGTGGTGATATGCAGATGGTTGGGCTGGGTGATCACAGAGGTCTTTTCCAACCTTAGCAAGTCCACAATTCTAAGAATACTACCGCTAGAAAAAGTCACATAAAAATTCAATGCACAGAAACCAAACCTTGTAGTTTCATTCCTGCATGTATGCAAATGATCCAGAGTTTAAATCATACGAGCTCATTTCATGCTTGTGTTTTCTAGCTTAACATAGCTCATACTGGAAGGTGCTGCTGCAAATGACAAAGCCAGGTGAAGCAGCCCAACTGCATTAAGGTTTTTTGACCAGTGGTAACACAAGCAGCAACACTGATTCAGACATGTAAGAAGCTGCAAGGAAGTCGGTTGTTCTCTGGTTTATAGGGCACCATGGTAACTTCAGCAGAGACATGGCTCCCCTCACACAAGTACCACCCCCAGGAGACTGTCACAAGTCTCGTGCCATAACTCTCTGTTGCCTTGTTACTGAAGAGAAGCTCTATTCCCAACTCTCACATCAAACTGAAAATAGTGCTCTGCTTCAGCACTCTGCTTCAATTTCCTTCCAATTCCCACTTCACAGAAGGTGATAGAAGGGAAGAACAGCCCAAATACCTTCAAAAAGAATTAAAACTATGATCAGAACACAACCTTCAGTCTTTTCATGACTGCTTTTAGCCAGACATATGTATATTACACACAACATACCCTGTTTACTGCATACCTCAGCTCCTTAAACACTTTACTCATGAACTCCTTGCTAAAAGGCAGCCATTCACTTAGGTTTCAAGGACAGCTCCCTTTTAATGAATAATCTCAAGATGATTTACCATCCCTACGAAGCCTTTACACCCACACACAAGATAAGAGTCCATTACTGCAGACAGCAGCGAGTCCAAGGAACAGAACTGTAACTATTAAGGCTTCTATGGAACTTGACTATCAATCGCTTGCCAGAACTCATGCTTCAGTATTTGCTGCATGAAAATCAATAGCTAAATGCTTATAACTCTCAGTGTCTTGCCAGCCTGTAATACCATATATACAGAAAAACACAGAACAAAAATAAATACTTTTACACTTGGTGTTCCAAGTCAGCCCTTCTGCATTTCAAGCAACTCCAAACTCTGAACCGCATTTCTGACACAGCATCAATGGGAATTGTTTAAACCACATTTCCACATTCCCTTTGTAGTCTTTGTTGCTTGAACATCAACAGGAAGTTCTGATTCCTGTCAACTTGACTGAACTCACTAACACTCAGGAAATGAAAATCCTAATGAAGCCAAGAGCTTCAAAATATAGGAGTGTTCTGAAAGATTTACGGGTCTGTAAAATACATGGGTTAACCAACCAGCCGACTCGGCTATTTCCCTATTTCTTTTACATCAAGTCTTACGCAATTAATCCTGTGCCAAAAACATGAACCTGTGGGGAAAAAAAACACCCTTCAGTAGCATCTGAACTTCTCAGCTGCACTGTAAGTAAGCAGAGCTTACTGGTACTGCAACCAGCAAACCAAAAACAAAGAAACCAACATCACCGCAACACACCACACACTCTCATCAAGAACAAGAACAGATAAGGCAAAGAAATTATACTGGACAGGAACTTGAAGTAGCAGAAGCTTCAATATATTATATGTAGGCTCATCAGAAGCAAGCACAATTTAATATCATATAATAACACCTTTTTGTTCCTTGGCATGCTAAAAAGGCACTGAAGTACATTCTAGAAGGTTTCTAGGAGAAACTTCAAGTTTAATAAGGATAATACTTCTATTTCTGGTGTTTTGAAGCAAGTTATTTCATTTCTAAGTCAAAGTCACTAATCAAGCTCCACACTGCTTTTCTCAAATTACCAGCACAGCTGTGATGAAATAGGTAGCAGTCAAGCTCAAGCTCACCTCACTTCCCTGTGAACGTGTTACTGTGCTCCTGAAGGCAGCTCCTCAAGAATAACACCTTCACTTTGCTGAACTCACTCAAGACCTTTCCACAGGCTGATGTGCTTAAGTGCCACTGCTCTAAGCCTAATTCCTCCTAATCTTGTTGACAAGTATACCTTGTAGATAATACTCTTCTTGCTAGGGACAATAATACACCTACTTGCAAGGCAGTTGACTATTCTTCACTACTTCAAATGACCCAGGTCTCTAATCTCTTCTTGCAAGTTACTCAGAGAAGAATAAAACACTGTTTCCCTCTTTCCCAGCTAAGAAAAACAAGCACTGACAACAGCTAACTTGTTACTCTCCACATATGATAGTTCTGCAATTAAACCATGTTAGAAGAATTTATCATGTCACTCATCTTCACTTCCAGTTTCATTTCCCTTTGTGCCACAGAAGACAGAGGAGATTTATGTCTAGGCAGACATTTATATATTAAACAACTCTACACTGAATCTTTGAACTATGAATAGAAAGTTTATGAAATCTATAAAACTTCCCAATACTTCCTGCAAATGCAAATGTACTCAGGATCCCAGTAGAACAACCCTAATTTAAAGATGAAGCTCACAGCCTGGAAAACAGTGAAGGACAACAATTGAAGTGCTAAGAACTCAAATCCACCCACTTCAATACTAGATACTGAATATCCTTTCCAATGTTCAAACTCTCTATACAATGAGGCCTAATTATAGGCAAAACATATATAGGCAAAATTTACTAAATAATTCATTCTTTCATTTTTCCATACAATTCTAGAGAAAAGATAAGAGCCTGCTTCTCTCCTAAATAGCCTGTTATGTGAGTAACCTCCACAGCTTAAAGGAGAACACACACTTTTCAAGGCTCAGTCAAGTATTTACAGAATGTTCTATCCCTTGATGGTGAAGTTTTGTTTGCTGCTCTCCATAAGTAAAGTAATCCCATCAAGCCACTGGTGATGTTAAGCCTGGCAAACACAGAAAGCTTACATTTTTGTTGTTAAAATAACTCCTGAATGCAGCCATTTCACAAGCAGGTCAGCTAAATCACCTTTCTCCCAAATGAACAGACTATTCCCTATTTGTTCCCTCAATACCTTTCGTGGTAATACACATCACTCCAGTGTGTGAGGAACAGTCAGAAAAAAAAACAGGCATAATTTGCAAAAACAGGAGTCCAAAATGTACAGCTGTAAGAAAGGCTCCACATTATGCCTACCCAACAGTCTCATAGCAGGTCATCTGATTAAAAGAAGCTGTGCTAATCTATCAGATACTATAAATCCTATTAGTAACACGTACAGCAGCCCGTACATTTTCACAATGACAAAGGAATTATACAGAATCCACTGGTAGTTCCAGTGTTTTTATATCATGCTGACTTTGGAAAGCTGCTTTTTCTTGTTACTTAAACAGAAGTGCACACTGATTCCTATTTGACTCTAACTCAATAAGTAAGATTGTTAATTGCCTGCAGGACAAACTTGTGTGCTCTTCCCAAAAAAAGATTTTAAAAAAGGATTCAAAGGTGCCTTCAGATTGTGAAGCACACATCTACAGACACAAAGAATTTGAGGCCACCGATCACAGGAAGGTATACAGGGACACAACGTGAGAAATGGATGGGATCACACAGGATTCTGTGACAGAACCTTTATTTGAAGCGAAAAAACCATACTAAGACACGTGAGGAATAGCTCAAAGACTTACCTGCTTAATACACCGTGCTGGTTAAAACAGAACAACAGTTTACACAAAAAATAGGACAGAAAATACTGGCAACATGACAGTGATGCTGTCTAAAGCAATGATTTCTCTAGACCTGGAACACTGAGTTCAGTTCCAGCATCTGCACCTCCAAAAAAAAGGAACACAGATGATATCTAGTGTTGACCAAGGCAAGTAATTGAGAACACCTCAGGAAATGCCTTTAGAGAAAGAGCATGGGGGATAGTTTGCTTTCTGCAAAAATAGCTAGTATATAGTAGGCAGAAATAACAAATTTAGTTGTGTGAGAAGCATTTTCTCAGTTAATCACATACTAACTGGCTTCACAAGAGGTAGAAACACTTCAAGTTAGAGCCTGGAAAGTAATAAAGTTTCACTTATCCAAAAAAATATTAGTGACGATTATGATTGCACAGAACATCTACTTAAATAATACCAAAAACACTGAAAGTGCAGCATGATGAGCTCCTTTGTTCACAAGAAACGTGGCCTCGTTTGTCCCAACATGGCTGGGAAGTAATTTCTCATTCATGAGAATAACTCTCCTAATTTTTTTTTTCCTTTTACTTCCCTGCCCCACTGAGATGAAACAGTTTCATCTATGGTCTCCCTCTGCTTCACGAGTTCCATTTCTGAAGGAAGGCAGGCACTAACATCTATTATTTAGCAAGTTTCCTGACCATTTTTAAATCCTTCCTGTTGACATACGAATCCAAATACTAAGGTAGAAAATGGGTATTTTAGACTTGCATTGACTAAAACAACTAAAGCTGGTTAGCCACTTTTTAAAGTTAGCATTAGTTTCTCAAAAACTAGAAAAAAAGGAACTACCTCATTCTTCTACTTACATTTTCTCTCACTACAGTAGAAAGCCAACTTCTGCTGTCAAACATGAAAATTCTGGAAAGAAAAACATCAAAATGAATGTAATTATTAAGAAACAACATACATTTTGTACCAAATTCAGCAGAAATTCAGCTACCAAAGCATAGACTTCTTTTGCTAACATAACGGGAACAACTGGTTTTTCTTCATGAAGGAGAGGGGCACTGCTTCAGCAACATTGCTGACATCACCTGAAGACTTGCTCATCTCAACCAGTTTAACATTTGTTAAGAAAACTCTTGGAGCCCTCAGATCAGTTGTTCTTCTCTCCCTAGCAACACTGAAATCCACACTGCTGTACTGCAGAGCTCATGGTTCGAACAGAACGGTCTCACTCACAAGACTGGAATTTTCTGTGCTATACAGCACCCCTCAAAACATCTCCATTCTCTAAGCCCTGAAATTATTTCTGCTCAATAGTGTTTCTGATGTGCGCTTGCTTTCTAAGTACAGTTCAATATCAAGGTATCTATTTCATCAAAAGAAGTTACATAAACCTCCTACTAACAAGCTCCAGTGAGAGCACACCACTTTTCTTTCTAGAAGGGTTACAACTGATCACCACAGATACTAAGGACGTAAAAGGATTAAAAATGACAAATTAAATAACTCACACACTTCCATTCTGGAAAATGGTAATGATCTAACACACAGATGGACTTCACAACAAGTAGAAAAGACTTCAAGAAGTTTTACAACTTCCTATTTCTTTAACAGCACATAGGAATGATTATAGTTCACTCCGTGGTTTGAAATGCTCCTATTCTGACGTTCTGTGATGTTTCTACCTCACAGCACAACCTGGGCTGTGAGTGATGCCAATGGACACCTGAATACACACCTTCAAAACCACTGCATCAAAACAATGAAGGATTGCTCTGAGCATAAAGCAGGAATGTAACGAAGCCAAGTCAACTTAAATCACAACGTCAGCCTGCAGCTTCATCTATTTTGAACTGCAGAGCTTAGATGAAATGCGAGTTTATGACTTTAGAGCTCACTGTTAGCTGGAAAATTTTCAAACTACTTCAGTGTCTGGTATGGAGGTTAAGCTACTTAGGATATGGGTCATCCTCATCCAAGCCCATTTATAGATGAACCGTTTAGTGCTGTGATTATGAAACCACAGTGTAAGCAGTTTTGCTCATTAATGCCACAACACACTTTCGAACATAAAACAATAACTCACACTTAAAAGCCAAATTTCTCCTCCCTCCCCACACCCTCGAGGAAGCAAACACATCTGATATCACCATTATAAGGTCTGGGGACAAAAAAATAGAAACAGCAATGTTCAACATCCAGAGGTTGTGACAGAAAGATGTACCCACAGTGCAGACATCACGAAATGCAGTGAAATTCTGACAGAATTCCTTGAAAAGTCAACAAGTAAAATTACACTGGAATGCTAACCACACACAGAATACACAAGTGCAAAGGCTAGAACACACCATTATTGCCCTGTGCTGCACCCTCATTAATGCAGGAGAGGTGCTGCAGAATTCTTATGCTTTCTGCAAAAAAGAAGAAGAAAAACAAAACAAAACCAAGTGTTTTAACCAGCCTGCAGGAAGAGTCATGAAGCATAACAGCAAACTTCTCTAGAAACTTCAGTTTGTTTCCAAAAGCAGGTTCCATTTTCAGCCAGGTGTGCTGGAAGCATCCTATGGTGCCTGCAGAATGCAAACCTGGCACTGAGATAGCTTTGCTTCTGCATTACAGATGGAGCTTGTTTAGGAACAAAAGTAGACAAACCACTTAAGAAAGATTTGAATTGCCACAGTTGTCCATTTTTAGATAAAACGTAGCCTGGTAAAAGCAATATGAAAATTACAGGCCACTACATTCCTTCACAGTACTGGCTCAGCAAAAAATCCTTATTGTAATGAACTCAATACACACTCTGCCTTAATCAGCTCTTATAGCCCTGCTTAGCTGAGAGTTTGAGGTTCTCACCATCAAGAAGTGGGATTTCTAAAACAGGAGAGAACAGGAAGGACCACAGAATACTTGAAGCATGGCTCAAGTGGTTAAACCATGACACCAAAGCACCTGGAAGTCAGCCAGCCCTACCAACGGCTGTACAACCAGCGTCCCCATGCCCACAGCATTCTGCACCAATAAGGCATGGCAGCCCAGACTAAAAATACAAAATTGCAGTAACTCTCCGAAGGCAAAAGCACCACTGCTTCCAGGTAAAGCTTCCCTACTACAAGCATGTGCTCTTACTGTTGTTGATCTAAGATGCTTCTGAATTGAATATATTAAGCAGTCATATTGAGGCAAAAACTTAACCTGAAACTTGATCTCGGCTCCAACACCCACCAGCCTACAAGGCTCCATGCCTGAAGAACTTCTACAGAAGAAACCATGGCTGTTTTCCTGAAGGTTGGTGAAAGCAGGAGAGAAGAGGGAAGGATGAAAGAAAACACCCCAGACCTCAATACAGTTACACATTTAAGAACCACTATCAAGTATTTGCTACTTTGTCCAGTGTAAAACTGAGATGAAAATTAACCTCCTTGGCATTAGGAAGTTCAGAGCAGCACCTTCCAGTTTCAGCTTTCTGGAAAGCAACAGTCATCTGAAAGGGACAGATCCTACACTCAGCAAGGATGGCTGTATGCAGGCAGACATTTACTAATTCAAGGTGCAGATGCTGTGTTCCAGCTACCAACCAACACTTAGCACCACGCTAGACATCAAGGTACATGGCAGCTATAACATCAGCTGAACCAGGAATGGCAAGTTAGTTACCTTATAATATTACTTCTAACAATTGTTTCTTACAGCCTACAGACTGTTCTGCAGTAATAATCAGCTGTCTAAAAGCCCAAGGGATTACACAGCCTTCCCAAACCACTGCCAGTGACATGGAGTTCCTGCTATGCCACTGGGAAACAGTAATTAGAAGTCTGAAATTTGAAGCAGCGTTTCAGGGCTATTCTGTACATACAGAAATTATCCTCAGTTTGACTGATCAGTCCTCACTTTCAACCTGAGCAGTTTTATCAGATAGCTAGAAACTCAAAGGAACAATAACACATCTTACAGAATACCCTTCAAGAGATCATTATTTTAGTTCAGAACTCGGAGTACAAACCCGTATTCCAGAAGTTTAGAAGTTAACCTCATGTGCAAAATCCTCAGTGTGCCAGAGGCTATTATCACGCAGCAAGGCCGCACAGAACATCTACTGAGCAATCACCCATCTCCAACTGGACCTGCTTTGCATAAACCACCAGCTTTTGCTTGCATACCCAGATTTTCTAATACCTGAGGACTCATCGTTCCCTATGTTTGAAAATAAACCTTTACGACAGTTTGCCATTCCCTGAAAATAGAATACTGCTCAGCAGAGAACAGCAATGAAATCACGGCAGGGACACTCAGAACACACAGCTCTGCAGCTCATGGCTGACTCCTTCTGCCCCCAACAGTGAATAAAAGCTGCCTTCATGGAAGACAGCATAGCATCCCTGCTGCCAAAGTACTCACATTTCCTGATGCTAATCCCGTGACCTACATTTAAAAAAAAAATCATACTGATGTAATATTTAAGCATAAAAGTCTGGGCTGTAACAGGTCACTTGATTAATCCTTCCCAAACTCCTCTGCAAGCTATGTGTATTACTAAAAATCTCAACTCTAGGAATAGCAGAGAATTCAATAAAAACAAGGGGACTATTGCAAGCACACCCTTCTCAAGAAAGGTTGAAGTAGTTAAAATATTAATAACTATTTGAACCTCAGGAATTCAAGTCAAAAAACTTTCTAATTGCAACTTTTCTGTCTCATTCACAAAGAAATTCACATTTAAAACACTTCAATGTGAATTTCTTGGTAAATAGCTGGAATAGGAAGTTAACTAATTCTAAGAACAAAAATGACAGTTTTCAATATTTTTTTAATTACGTCAAAAGCCAGTATGTTAGTTTCTACTCTTTTGTTCAATATTATCTGCATGCAATTCTTTCCAAAGAGCAACACATCAATCAGTGAACTGCATCAATTTTACCAAACTGGCCAGCTATCCCAGCTGAGTTCTGACCTGCCTACTTCATAATTACAAATAATCACTGTAACTGCCACAACAACAACGTGGTAATTCACTTATGGATTGATACTGAGCCTGAGGAATAGCTAAGTAGAGCATCATTGGAATGAAGTTATGCTACACCATGAAGGAAGAAAAGTATTTCAGTGGTCCTTAAAGCAACAAGAAGTATTTTATAGATATTTTATGCATACAGCAGATAAAAGACGACACAGGGATTAAAATATGGCATGATTTCCTTAATCTTTTTTTTCTTTTTTTTTTTTTAAACAAAAATAGATTGAGCAATACGTTGTTCCCTAGCCCTGCAATCAACATAATCCATCTTTAGTCAACGTGCAAGCAGTTCCATTAGTTCTCATTGCAATAATTTATACCTCCTAGTGCTCATGGATTTATCCCAGCAATTGCTGTGTTTTGATATGCACTGCTGATACAAAACCAGTTCAGATAAAGAGCAGGAGGACCAAAAACAAGGTTGATGGACTGAAAAATAGAGTAACACAGGAGACCTCAGAGCCATCAGACAGCGGAGGGGTATCTGAGACCAGACAATGCAACAATGCTTAATGTGATATAGAATGTAAACCTCAAGTACAACCCAGTGACAGTACCACAAGAGAAAGCACAAAGGTACAACAGGAAATACTTGCTTTCATGCTTGGACATTCCTCGTTCTACAGTACAGCCTTAACCCTCATAAAACCTCTGGCATTGCTCTTTGTGTACCAGCTGTATTCCTCCTGACACATACCTGGTGATCAAAGTAAAGAGAAAATACTCAAAAAAAAAAACAAAACCAAAACACATTTATGTGGAGCCAGCCACCCAATACTACTGTTGCGCAGAACTACGTGGGTTTTTGGGTGGGGGGACGATGGGGAAGGCATTTTTGAGTTTGCTTTTACAACAGAAAACACATTAACTGTAACAGGCAACGTATCAATCACTGGGGTCC